CAACCGTCAGTCAACAGGTGTACAGGTTCCTGAGCCTACTGGGCTCTATCATATCTACACTTGAAACTGTGTATGGAGTCAGCCTCCACCACATCACTTCCTAATGCATTCTATTTGTCAACCACTCTGACACTAAAAAAGTTCTTTCTAATATCTCTGTGGCTCAGTTGGGCACTCAGTTTCCACCTGTGTCCCCTTGTGTTAAATAGACTGTCTTTATTTACCCTATCAATTCCCTTGAGAATCTTGAATGTGGTGATCATGTCCCCCCCTAACTCTTCTGTCTTCCAGCGAAGTGAGGTTTAATTCCCGTAGTCTCTCCTCGTAGCTCATACCTCTCAGCTCGGGTACTAGTCTGGTGGCAAACCTTTGAACCTTTTCCAGTTTGGTCTTATCCTTGACTAGATATGGACTCCATGCTGGGGCTGCATACTCCAGGATTGGCCTGACATATGTGGTATACAAAGAATGATTCCTTACACAAGTTTCTGAATGCCGTTCTTATGTTGGCCAGCCTGGCATATGCCGCTGATGCTATCCTCTTGATATGGGCTGCAGGAGACAGGTCTGGCGTGACATCAACCCCCAAGACTTTTTCTTTCTCTGACTCTTGAAGTATTTCTTCTCCCAGATGGTACCTTGTATCTGGCCTCCTACTCCCTGCACCTATCTTCATTACATTACATTTGCTTAGGTTAAACTCTAACAACCATTTGTTTGACCATTCCTTCAGCTGGTCTAGGTGTATGTGTACTCACCTAGTTGTACTCACCTAGTTGTGCTTGCGGGGGTTGAGCTCTGGCTCTTTGGTCCCGCCTCTCAACCGTCAATCAATAGGTTTCAGTCAACACACACACACACACACACATGTGTGCGTGTGTGTGTGTGTGTGTGTGTGTGTGTGTGTGTGTGTGTGTGTGTGTGTGTGTGTGTGTGTGTGTGTGTGTGTGTGTGTGTGTGTGTGTGTGTTAGGATACGTGAGACATGATCTCCATCTACAAAATACTCAGGGAAATTGACAAGGCTGACAAAGACAAACTATTTAACACGGGCGGAACACGAACAAGGAGACACAGGTGGAAGCTTAGCACCCAAATGAGCCACAGAGACATTACAAATAACTTTTCAGTGTTAGAGTAGTTAACAAATGGAATGCATTACTCAGTGATGTGGCGGAGGCTGACTCCATACACAGTTCTAGATATGATAGACCCCAGTAGACTCAGGAATCTGTACACCAGTTGATTGACATTTGAGAGAGAGAGAGAGAGAGAGAGAGAGAGAGAGAGAGAGAGAGAGAGAGAGAGAGAGAGAGAGAGAGAGAGAGAGAGAGAGAGAGAGAGAGAGATAATGATGACTACAGACACAGGTCAAGTGACTGAAAAAAGGGGAGAAATAGGAAGTAAAAATATTTGTGGGGAACAGCTGAAACTGACGCACTTTTGTGTGAAGGAGGAATTTCTATTTTTTTTCATCTTTTCTACCCTTTTATTTCCTCTCCCTCCCCTTCCCCTCTCCCTCCCTGTCTCCCTCCCATTTCCCCATCCCTCTCACGTGGGAATGGGTGAGTCAGGGTGGGTATAGATGGCTCCAGATGGGTATTCTAGCTATACATCATGTTTCTAAATGCCCTTATCCTTCATCTATGAGATTTTTAATGCCTTTATCCTTATACAATGAGGGTTTTTCAATGCCCTTATACTTATAGTATGAGGTTTTAATGCCCTTATCATTATACTATGAGGGTTTCCCAATGCCCTTATACTTATACGGTTTGGAGAACTCAAAGTATAAGGAGAAAAGAGCCCCAAGAACCCACAGTATAAGGAGAAAAAAGACCCAAAAACTCACAGTATAAAGAGAAAAAAGACCCAAGAACTCACAATGTAAAGAGAAAAAAGCCCCAAGAACTCACAGTATAAGGAGAAAAAAGCCCCAAGAACTCACAATGTAAAGAGAAAAAAGCCCCAAGAACTCACAATGTAAAGAGAAAAAAGTCCCAAGAACTCACAGTATAAGGAGAAAAAAGCCCCAAGAACCCACAGTATAAAGAGAAAAGAACCCCCAAGAACCCACAGTATAAAGAGAAAAGAGCCACAAGAACCCACAGTATAAAGAGAAAAGAGCCCCAAGAACTCACAGTATAAAGAGAAAAAAACCCTGAGAACTCACAGTATACGAAGAAAAGAGCCCCGAGAACTCACAGCATAAGGAGAAAAAAGCCCAAAAAACTCACAGTATAAGGAGAAAAAAGCCCCAAGAACTCACAGTATAAGGAAAAAAACAAAAAAACTCACAGTATAAAGAGAAAAATGCCCCAAGAACTAACAGTATAAGAGAGACACTCCTTGACTTCACTCACAACTCAGTATAAGTGTTGAAGTCAACCCCACCAACTATGCTAAACACCTGCGTCAACCTCAGCACATGTGTGTATATGTGTGTGGCGCCACACACACGACCCGATCCTGAGCCTTGCGTGACGCAATACAAGAAGTCGGGGTGGAAATTGAATTGTCAATCCCGATTCGGGGAAATTTTACCCCAGGGGGGAACTATCTCGAATTTTTGGTTCCTATTACTCTTGCTTGAGCAGCTGTCATCTGTACCTGGCTTAGTAGCTGTCAGCTTCATCTTGAAAGAGATGAGGGAGAAAGTGAAGGCGATTTCAAGCGAGTTTGAAGCAGAAAATGGAAGGAAAAGAAGAACCAGGAGGAGAAGAACCAGAGGGAGAAGAACTAGGAGGAGAAGAACTAGGAGGAGAAGAACTAGGAGAAGAACCATGAGGAGAAGAACTAGGAGAAGAACCAGGAGGAGAAGAACCAGAGGGAGAAGAACTAGGATGAGAAGAACTAGGAGGAGAAGAACCAGGAGGAGAAGAGCTAGGAGGAGAAGAGCTAGGAGGAGAAGAACCAGGAAGAAATAGAACGGCAAGACAGACGACGCAGGAGGATATTTAGCAATCTTCATTATTTGCGTCAAGAACATTAGAGAACAAGTAACAATCCTCATTATTTGCGTCAAAAACATTAGAGAACAAGTAACAATCCTCATTATTTGCGTCAAAAACATTAGAGAACACTGCATGCACACGCAAGAAGACAATGAATCAAGGGTTTATAGATACGATAGTCAGAGCTTTAAGCTGATGATTTTCACCAATACAAACATTCAACAGCATTCTTTATTTTTTTTGGTCCTTAATGCGTGTACATGCACATGAAGTGGTCTTGCTGGGCGTTGGCCCTCCACCCACCCACGTGCAAAGCTGCCCATTACGCAATCGGATGAATTGCCAATTACACTCGAATGGTAATCAAGTCTGTGATTCTTCTTTCTTGTGATTACTTATGTCAGGCGAGATAAATAGTTTGTTTCAATTAGAAGGTGCTTCGTTTGGGTCAATAGGAGCTGCCTCGTATGGGTCAATAGGAGCTGCCTCGTATGGGTCAATAGGAGCTGCCTCGTATGGGTCAATAGGAGCTGCCTCGTATGGGTCAATAGGAGCTGCTTCGTTTGGGTCAATAAGAGCTGCCTCGTATGGGTCAATAGGAGCTGCCTCGTATGGGTCAATAGGAGCTGCCTCGTATGGGTCAATAGGAGCTGCCTCGTTTGGGTCAATAGGAGCTGCCTCGTTTGAGTCAATAGAAGCTGCCTCGTTTGGGTCAATAGGAGCTGCTTCGTTTGGGTCAATAGGAGCTGCCTCGTATGGGTCAGTAGGAGCTGCCTCGTATGGGTCAATAGGAGCTACCTCGTATGGGTTAATAAGAGCTGCCTCGTATGGGTCAATAGGAGCTGCCTCGTATGGGTCAATAGGAGCTGCCTCGTATGGGTTAATAGGAGCTGCCACGTATGGGTCAATAGGAGCTGCCTCGTATGGGTTAATAGGAGCTGCCTCGTATGGGTTAATACGAGCTGCCTCGTATGGGTCAATAGGAGCTGCCTCGTATGGGTCAATAGGAGCTGCCTCGTATGGGTCAATAAGAGCTGCCTCGTATGGGTCAATAGGAGCTGCCTCGTATGGGTCAATAGGAGCTGCCTCGTATGGGTCAATAGGAGCTGCCTCGTATGGGTCAATAAGAGCTGCCTCGTATGGGTCAATAGGAGCTGCCTCGTATGGGTCAATAAGAGCTGCCTCGTATGGGTCAATAAGAGTTGCCTCGTATGGGTCAATAAGAACTGCCTCGTATGGGTCAATAAGAGCTGCCTCGTATGGGTCAATAAGAACTGCCTCGTATGGGTCAATAGGAGCTGCCTCGTATGGGCCAATAGGAGCTGCCTCGTATGGGCCAATAAGAACTGCCTCGTATGGGTCAATAAGAACTGCCTCGTATGGGTCAATAAGAACTGCCTCGTATGGGTTAATAGGAGCTGCCTCGTATGGGTTAATACGAGCTGCCTCGTATGGGTCAATAGGAGCTGCCTCGTATGGGTCAATAGGAGCTGCCTCGTATGGGTCAATAGGAGCTGCCTCGTATGGGTCAATAGGAGCTGCCTCGTATGGGTCAATAGGAGCTGCCTCGTATGGGTCAATAGGAGCTGCCTCGTATGGGTCAATAGGAGCTGCCTCGTATGGGTCAATAGGAGCTGCCTCGTATGGGTCAATAGGAGCTGCCTCGTATGGGTTAATAGGAGCTGCCTCGTATGGGTCAATAGGAGCTGCCTCGTATGGGTCAATAGGAGCTGCCTCGTATGGGTCAATAGGAGCTGCCTCGTATGGGTCAATAGGAGCTGCCTCGTATGGGTCAATAGGAGCTGCCTCGTATGGGTTAATAGGAGCTGCTTCGTATGGGTCAATAGGAGCTGCCTCGTATGTGTTAATAGGAGCTGCCTCGTATGGGTCAATAGATTTTAATGAGATTTGTTATTCTCGCCATAACGCACACACACACACACACACACACACACACACACACACACACACACACACACACACACACACACACACACACACACACACATATTAAAAAACCCTCCTCTTCCATTTCGTTTCCATTCAGCTGAAGAATCGTGCCACTGAAAACCCCCGAAACAAAGACTGTAAACATATGAATCTACACAGTCCCCAATGTCCTCGCAAGGAAGATCGCCGTAGAGGCGATAGTAATGAGCCCAGAAGGTAAATGGAAAATACTTAAGTAACACTTAAAAAAAAAATACGATTTCTTGTTATCTATTCCGGAACTTCAATGGCACAGCTTCTCTTGTGGTGTGAATACCTAGGTATTTCAAGAGAATCCTGAGGTAGCATTCTAAGGATGCCTTCTTGTCTAGACCCTCAGATAATGTGAGGGGTGACAGGAAGGAATGGTATGGGTGAGGGGAGTTGGAAAAGGGGGAAGTGGGAGAGGAGGAAGTGGGAAGGGTGGAAAGGGATAATGGGATGGAAGGGGGGGGGAGGAAGATGCTCTAGATGTGTGAGATGTTTACAAGGGGTAAATGAACACTTGGGGTCAATTGGGGAATATATATATATATATATATATATATATATATATATATATATATATATATATATATATATATATATATATATATATATATATATATATATATGGGGTTTCATATAGTGGATTACATATATTCCAGTGATATATTGCTAGCAACCGAGGCATAAGGAACTAGACCCTCCATAGTCATCGATAGATAAGCACTGGTAGATAAACACCACCAATCAACTATCACCACCAACCACCACTACCACTACCACACCCACACACTCTTCATCACTCAGAGCATCATCACGTAAAGCTCAACACTTGCACTCTATTGCACCCCGCACTCATTCCTCATTCCCCTCCCCCTCCCCAATCCCCACTCCTCCTCCAATCCTTCCCCTCCTCCTCCTGCCCCCCCCCCTTCCCCCGAGCCAAGGACGCACAGGTGGCCAAACGCTGCAGCTCTTGGGACGATAGAGTGTAATTGAATTTCATCTCGTTTCGGGGCCTCCGCGGTGGCCGGCTCAGCCTCCCGCTCTCTCTCCGACCTGACTTGGAGCTGATATAACATTGGTCTTAAAGGCGGGTTTGTATCTAATCTTCCTTGTGTATAATAACACATGATTAGTATGCAAGTATTGGTATGAAATACACGCACGCACGCACACACACACACACACACACACACACACACACACACACACACACACACACACACACACACACACAACACACACACACACAGGAACCTGTACACCTGTTGATTGACGGTTGAGAGGCGGGACCAAAGAGCCAGAGCTCAAACCCCGCAACCACAATTAGGTGAGTACAATTAGGTGAGTAGAATTAGGTGAGTACAATTGAGTACACACACACACACACACACACACACACACACACACACACACACACACACACACACACACACACACATATACACACACATACACACAAGCGTGTGTATGTGTTATATATGGGGTGTGTTATATATGAGTGAGTGTGTTATATATGGGGCGCCGGTGGCTGTGTGGACAGCAGGCTGGGCACGTAATCCTGTGGCCCGGGTTCGATTCTCGGCGCCGAGGAGGAACAATGGGCAGTTTTTTTTACCCTGATGCCCCTGTTACCTAGCAGTAAATAGGTACCTGGGAATTAGACAGCTGCTACGGGCTGCTTCCTGGTGTGTGTGTGTGTGGAGACGGGGAATTAGTTAGTAGTTAGTAACAGTTGATTGACTGACAGTTGAGAGGCGTTCCGAAAGGGCAGAGCACACACACACACACACACACACACACACACACACACACACACACACACACACACACACACACACACAAGGGGCCTCGTAGGGGCCTCGTAGCCTGGTGGATAGCGCGCGGGATTCGTAATTCTGTGGCGCGGGTTCGATTCCCGCACGAGGCAGAAACAAATGGGCAAAGTTTCTCTCACCCTGAATGCCCCTGTTACCTAGCAGTAAATAGGTACCTGGGAGTTAGTCAGCTGTCACGGGCTGCTTCCTGGGGTGTGTGTGTGTGTGGTGTGGGAAAAAAAAAAATAAAAAAAATAAATAAATAGTAGTTAGTAAACAGTTGATTGACAGTTGAGAGGCGGGCCAAAAGAGCAGAGCTCAACCCCCGTAAAAACACAACTAGTAAACACACACACACACACACACACACACACACACACATATACACACACATACACACAAGCGTGTGTATGTGTTATATATGGGGTGTGTTATATATGAGTGAGTGTGTTATATATGGGGCGCCGGTGGCTGTGTGGACAGCACGCTGGGCACGTAATCCTGTGGCCCGGGTTCGATTCTCGGCGCCGAGGAGGAACAATGGGCAGTTTTTTTTACCCTGATGCCCCTGCTACCTAGCAGTAAATAGGTACCTGGGAATTAGACAGCTGCTACGGGCTGCTTCCTGGTGTGTGTGTGTGTGGAGACGGGGAATTAGTAGTTAGTAACAGTTGATTGACTGACAGTTGAGAGGCGTTCCGAAAGGGCAGAGCTCAACCCCCAACTCAACCAAGAACTACCTCGGATCGGATATGAAGAAAGACTGAAAATACTAGACCCAACATCGCTAGTGGAGAGATGAGATATAGGAGACATAATAAAGACGTATAAAATACTTAAGACGGATAAACAGGTAGTCTCTCTCCAAGATGTAGGGAGGTGTGAGGGGACATGGAGAGTCCCTCCAAGATGAATCAATACGAGGCTGGGGACAATTTGTCTGTAAGAAGAATGTCTCTGCTTGCTCTCAAGACGTAAGCTTACTTGTGCTAACTTATGCTTTCTCCTCACAGTGAGGGTTAGAATGATGGATGATCGTGTGTGTGTGTGTGTGTGTGTGTGTGTGTGTGTGTGTGTGTGTGTGTGTGTGTGTGTGTGTGTGTGTGCGTCTGGGACACAGTGAGATTAAAACTAAAAGAGGAAATATAACAAAGAGAGAGAGAAAGAGAGAGAGAGAGAGAGAGAGAGAGAGAGAGAGAGAGAGAGAGAGAGAGAGAGAGAGAGAGAGAGAGAGAGAGAGAGAGAGAGAGAGAGAGAGAGAGAGAGAGAGAGAGAGAGAGAGAGAGAGAGAGAGAGAGAGAGAGAGAGAGAGAGAGAGAGAGAGAGAGAGAGAGAGAGAGAGAGAGAGAGAGAGACTGAACATCTTAAATTCAATATCTAGAGAGAATATCGAGGGAAAAATATCTTGAAAGAAGATATTTAACAGACTCTTCTACCTATAATATTACATAAGAAAATCTGCGAGTATCTAATCATGTGTTTGTGAATGTTTGTCAGCGTGTGTTTGTGTATGTTCCGAGTGATGGTGATTGTGTTTACATATGTATATATACAAGTCCAAATGTATACATACATAAACTCATACATGCATGCATGTCTACCTTTTGCCGTTTGACAACCCTATGACATCACAGAGAAACCCAGCATGAACGTATGGGTTAAACAAACAAACACCTTAAGCATCCTTTCAGTGTATGTCGTTGCAGACTGTGACATCTGCAGAGATTAATCCATTTCACTAACGCACTCTACCCACCACCACCACAGCCTCCAGGAATAGAGTGTAAAAAAAAAAAAACTTCACTCTTTAAAGGACCTGAGTCAACTTTAGGGGCGGACTGGCTGCTACACCCTGACAGAAAACGGAACTCTTAGGCACACTCTCCCAAATTGAATGACTCGCTCGTTCCAATATTTTCTCTGCCGCCTCTTTTTTTTTGTGTATTTTTTATTTTTTGCTTCTTAAAGGTTTCCAAGCAAGTGATGCCTTGATTTTATTTTTCAAGCTGGGTAATTTATTGAGAGGTAAAATAAATCTTTGGCCTTCGGTTTAGCTGAAATGAAGCTGTTGGATAGGTGTGTAAGTGAAGCTGTTTTACATCTAAAAGTGCAGCTGTCTAGGCCTGAAAGTGCAGCTGTCCAGGCCTGAAAGTGCAGCTGTCCAGGCCTGAAAGTGCAGCTGTCCAGGCCTGAAAGTGCAGCTGTCCAGGCCTTGAAAGTGCAGATGTCCAGGCCAAAAAGTGCAGCTGTCCAGGCCTGAAAGTGCAGATGTCCAGGCCTGAAAGTGCAGCTGTCCAGGCCATAAAGTGCAGCTGTCCAGGCCTGAAAGTGCAGCTGTCCAGGCCATAAAGTGCAGCTGTCCAGGCCCGAAAGTGCAGATGTCCAGGCCCGAAAGTGCAGCTGTCCAGGCCTGAAAGTGCAGCTGTCCAGACCTGGACGTGAAGCAGTGAGAAACTAGAGGATTTAAGGCCGATTTACATCTGTCTTGGGACCTTACTTGGTACCCACAAGAGAAGTTTTATTTAAAGTGTGTAAATAAAGCGGGCCCCTCGCCTTGGCTCGTGGGCCCCCAAGTGCGTTCCTTATTTGCTGTTATTTCTGCGCAGTTTCGATTCCAGCATGTGCTCTCTGCGCGTCTGCTGCTGCTGTTGCTTCTGCTTGTGCTGCTGCTGCTTCCGAAGCCCTGCTACTCCTGTTACGATGCTGCTCCTGTTTGCGTTCGAACTGCACGCATGCTGTTGCTCCTGTTTGCGTTCCTGTTGCGTTGTGAGTGCTGTTGTTGCCCCACATACTTGCGCTCTTGCACGGCTGCCGTGCACTTGCCTCCTGTACACGTGTACTTAAATTGATCCTCTACACGTGCATGGATCCTGTACAGGTGCTGTTGCATGGATCCTGTACAGGTGCTGTTGCATGGATCCTGTACACGTGCTGTTGCATGGATCCTGTACAGGTGCTGTTGCATGGATCCTGTACACGTGCTGTGGCATGGATCCTGTACACGTGCTGTTGCATGCCTCCTGTACAGGTGCTGTTGCATGGATCCTGTACACGTGCTGTTGCATGGATCCTGTACACGTGCTGTTGCATGCCTCCTGTACAGGTGCTGTTGCATGGATCCTGTACACGTGCTGTTGCATGGATCCTGTACAGGTGCTGTTGCATGGATCCTGTACAGGTGCTGTTGCATGGATCCTGTACACGTGCTGTTGCATGGATCCTGTACACGTGCTGTTGCATGGATCCTGTACACGTGCTGTTGCATGGATCCTGTACACGTGCTGTTGCATGCCTCCTGTACACGTGTCCTTGCAAGGCTGCAACATATATCTGACGAGCGCAGTGCGTCACATCTGTTTACCGACTGCCTACTCAGCCCAGTGCGTCACATCTGTTTACCGACTGCCTACTCAACGGCCCTACACCACAATGTCAACAAAACGGTATTTCCCGTCAACAGAACCTCGTCTCCTGTCAAAGGAGTGTCACTTTTCCTCAACAAAAGGGGGGGGGGGGGTATATTTCCAAGATAAGACTTGTGTGTCAACAGTCCCGCCTTTTCCAATAACAGAGAAGCATTGGCTGCCATGTTTTGGGTCCCTGTTTGCGCTAGCCATCTCCTTTTAGAAGGTGATTGGGTAGGGGAAGGAGGGTTGAGCTGGTACGCTTTCACCTCTCTTTTACGCTAATATACGCCTCTACATCACTCTCTCTCTCTCTCTCTCTCTCTCTCTCTCTCTCTCTCTCTCTCTCTCTCTCTCTACGTTATCCTTATCTGCGGACTTCATTCTCGCTTTCTCGCCTCCTTTCTTTTTCTGCATTTGTCAACATTGGAGTCAGGTGTAATTATTGGGGGGGGGGGGTCATGTTTATAAGATTACCAAAGTCACGTGTGTGATTATTGGGGATCACATGGTATTTTTAGGACCATGTGCGATTATCAGGGCCACGTGTAACTAGTGGGGGTCACATATATATTTTTTGGTCACGTGATTATTGGGTGCCATATATGATCATTAGGGGTCACGCGTGACTAATGGAGGGTTACATGTAATTAGTGGGATCACGTGTAAATGTTGGGGAATCACGCTTGGCTATTGAGTCACGTGTTTGGGTATTGAATCACGTGTGAGTATGACACTCACAGTCATATTCCCGAGTAATTTGAAAAAAAATAATGAAAATGAGTTCACAATTCACAGTGCAAGCTCTCAGCCTAAGGGCCATATACGCAGCAGTTTCAATCCAATTCTTAACGTTCCGGGACACCAGGGTACAGATCGACATATATACACGGACATTCAGGCGGAGCCCCAGAGCTAGAGAACTAGATATACATACGAGACAAAGAAGGCAGCAAGACAAGGTGAAATACACCATGAATAATAGATCTTATATTGGTAGTCCTGTGTCAGCACTGATAGTTCTGTATGATAATTGGCCAGTTCTGTATCATAATTGGTAGTTTTGAATCGTAATTGGTAGTTCTGTATCTGAATTGGTTGTTCTGTATTAGAGTCCTGTTTCAGAATTGGCGGTTCTGTATGATAGTTGGCCAGTTCTGTATCATAATTGGTAGTTTTGTATCGTAATTGGTAGTTCTGTATCGTAATTGGTAGTTCTGTATCGTAATTGGTAGTTCTGTATCAGAATTGGCAATTGTTGAATTATTCGAAAAGATTCGTTATAATGTGGAACAGAGAGAGAGAGAGAGAGAGAGAGAGAGAGAGAGAGAGAGAGAGAGAGAGAGAGAGAGAGAGAGAGAGAGAGAAACAGCATACGTATCTATGTGTTGCTATTCAATATAGCACAAAACTGTCTTTGGTCATCCACATCACCGAATTCTCCAATAAATCGCCGGCTTCTCAAACGAAGCGCTTATTCACCTGACTTCCATGTTACCCGACGCACGACTCAAAGATCCAGAGGCAGATCTACACCGCGAACGGCAAGAGCATTACGAATGTCCATCTTTCGGCGAGATGATTCAAGTCTTCAATGCATTTATATGTGACCCTCATTGAAGTCATATGCAGCTCGACATCCAGATCCTCCGACAAGCAAAGAGCACACTGCAGTCATATGCAGCAGGACATCCAGATCGCCTGATAAACAAAGAACGTTCAACTCGACTCGAGGACCGTCGACTAACCATCACGCTACAATACCAAAAATCGACATAAAAGACTACCTGACGTACAATCACCATCACTTGACGATGCCCGACGTCCGACGCACATAACCGCAGTCTCACCTCCAAGCTTTTATCCGACACTATCGCCTATCTCGACCACGGGGACCGGAGCCCACGAAATAGGGAAGAGTGGGAGAAGGAGAGCGGTAAGAACGGGGGTCTGGGTGAGAGGGTAATATCCTGACGGAGGTATAAGGAGTCCGTAAACCGGGAGAGAATACACAATGGGATGTTTATGAGCGCGGGCAGATGGCACGAGTCTCGTGCTTGGATGCAGGCGCCGTAACCTATTTTATACCCCAATATTTCACGCGTGTTTATACTTGCTTCTCGACGCTCACCACGACGCTTTCTCGTTAATCCCCGCATCTGCGGAGGCCATCGCCAGGGTTCTGGTCGGCGCGCGCGACGCCCCGAGGAGTGTGAAGCCTTAGGCGGGGAAGTCAGCTTTCGGGAGGAGTCACGTCTTAGGAGAGAGAGCCAGGGCACGAGGGAAGGGGCAGGGGGAGTCTCATGCCACACATGCCCTCGGGGGTCTTAGAAGTGTCTCAGGGTCTTTCCTGCGTGGTCTTAGAAGTGTTCGTGCCTACACAGCCGCTCCACTGTGATGTTATCCTAGCAATTCCAGTATGATATTGGGCATTATGACTGTCCCCTCTATAACGCTGGTGGGAGCGTCCCCTTTTAAAAATGGGGTTTGCGTCCCTTTCGTAAGAGGTCGGGGGGGGGGGGGGAGAGCTAATCAAGCCTGGCCACTGAAGAGAACGCCAGCGTCGCCTCTTGTGAATGCGTTCAAAGACACTTCTTTCTCTTCCAGAATGGCGCTCATATTTTCTAAAGAGGTGTGTGTGTGTGTGTGCACACAACTATACAATCCGCCGAGGATTTTGGAACCTTCCAAGTTTGTATTTCATTATTTATTCAAGTTGATCCATTGAGGCAGTCTCTTGCTCCTTGCACTCAGGCCATGCAGGAAATCTAGACACTTTTCCACTCAAATTTTAGCTAGAATCACTATCTTATTTTAATGAAGTCGCTCTCAGGGACTTTCATTTTTAGAAAGTGTTGAAGTTGAAAGATTTGTTTAGATTATAAAGCGAAATAACCACTATTCAAAGATATATTAAAAAGTACATTCACACGTCAAAATCTGCAGATGATAACCAAGGAATGTGCGAATCGATATTAGTTTAGAAATATTAAGTGCACAGCGCGAGATTTGTCAAGAAGGGAATCTCAACACTTGAGGAGCTCCAGTCTCTGTGTGGATGTCCGAAAGTCAGTAGAAAGTGTGTAGATGTTCGAAAATATCTCCTTCTTTCCTATCCGTTTCATTACCACTTAAGTTCACTACACGGTACCCTCTCAACCACCTCAGACGACACAACCCCCAATCAACACACCCCAACAAACAACCATATCTCCACTATCAGCAATCCTCCGGTAACTATCACCAACTCCCAACCACCACCACTTCGTGGCAACAAGAAATTTTGTAAGTCAACATGCCACATGAACGAGAGGCAATGTCTGTACAAGACATGATGGACTACATCATTCAGAAGTGCGAGTGTACACAAACAAGAAGACGATGGAAACCTTTAGAAAGAACAAATCCACAAGGGCCGTGACGAGGATTCGAACCTTCGTCCGAGAGCATCCCAGACGCTGCCTTAATCTACTGCGCTACGACATGGTCAATAGGAGTTGAAACCGAAGTTCTACTGAACTTACTGGATCCTGTTTGATGCATCACGCAATTGTGATTTCTGTGTGTAATGCTTTAGAAAGATATTTTCATTGTGAAGAGTAGTTAACAAACGGAATGGATTAGGCAGTGATGTGGTGGAGGCAGACTCCATACACAGTTTCAAATAGACATGAAAGAACCCAATAGGCTCAGGAACCTGTACACCAGTTGACTGATGGTTGAGAGACGAGACCAAAGAGCCAAAGCTCTACCCACCGCAAGCACAACTAGGTCAGTACCACCCCTGTTACCTCTCCCTGTTACCTAGCAGTAAAATAGGTACCTGGGTGTTAGTCAGCTGTCACGGGCTGCTTCCTGGGGGTAGAGGCCTGGTCGAGGACCAGGCCGCGGGGACACTAAAAAGCCCCGAAATCATCTTAGGATAACTCAAGATAACCCCCTCCCCATGCCCCCCCCCCCAAAGAACCACCACTACCACACATTCTGAGCCTCGTCACCTCATTTCCCCAACACCTGTTCAACGCCCAGCGCCACAAATCTGCCTAGCGGTCGGCTCGGGCAATACCCACCAGCAGTGTTACGTATAATGCCCCACAACAGCAGTAACCCCAACAATAACAATGATAATATCACACACCAGCCGCTGCGGATATTAAAGAGAATCGGATGCTAAACCTGTTGTCTATCAAGTGACACTGTTACTGGCTGGCAAAGTCGCATTAGATCCAACTCAGTCGAATGGCAGGTAATTGTGATTGGCTTCGGCTGGCAGGATTTACCACTGATTGCCTCCCTGAATTTAATTATGTATGGGGTCGAAAAAACATGGTACTCGGAATGGTCTTTTTAGTTCCTCTGATGGTGATTGAACTCAAGAGGCTTTCGTACGTCCACAGTAGAGGCCTGTGTAGGTGAGAAGCTGTTTTAGTTTTCAATTAAACTAGTGTTACTTAATTGTTACTTTTAATAAGCTAGTATTACTTAATTGTGATTACTTAATTTTTGCGTGCCTGTCTTTATCGCGTCATAATTAACTCTAAATATAGCTAAGGATGGCAAGTAAATATCAATTACTTCCCACTTTTCTTTGTAAATATGCTTAATGAAAATGGGAAGTGTTTCATCTCATCTATTTTTAAAAGATCCCGTAGTTGAAGATTTTTTTTTTTACTTTCATTTAACCAATTTTCCACAAACATTTCAAGTGTTTTCGTTACTAGACATGTGATTAAAGTAAGAATTTCAACAACTGAAGGCATGCAATTAAGGTAGGAATTGCTCTCCCCAGACACATCATTTAACAAACTCCGACACAGTTAACAAACATTCAGGGAAGGAAATGAGGCCAAATTTCTTGCCCGCTCAAGATTTCAAGGTCACTTAGCCGCTTGCGTCTAGGTGAGGCTGTGTTTGACCTTGGCAAGGAAGGAAGGTCACAATTGACTTGAGAACGGTCCAAGACGGACCAAAACGTCGTCGTCCTTTCATTTTCTAGTGTGTTGATTCGTCAGCAGCGAGAGATTCTGTCATGAGGTGGTATTAAGGACATTTCCAAAAGAAATTATAAATATTTATCTGAGAATATATTTGCTAATTACTTGGCCAATCGCTAAATATTTAAATGTTTAACTGCACGCTAAATCAGCTGGTCAAATATCTCATTGTAAATCAAAATGATGTAAATAACAAAACATCTACTAATCAATGTCTTGTAATTATATTTTTCAGCAAAGGAAAGGCTAAAAATAACCATGGAATTCTTGTCGATTTCGTTCGCAAAGATCTCAGAGTTTATGTTCCCTTTAGCAAGTTGCTGCGACATTCTATAGTAATGGTACCTTTTGCTGTCGTTACTCCACACGCCTTGAAGTTCTGGTTAACTGAGTATCCAAAGAGTTTTCATGCGGTCAGTGAGGCGAGCAGTCTCGCCTGACCACACACAAGTAAACATCGCTCCACTACGAAGTCTCGCTTTCCAGAACCGCTTTCCAGAACCGCTGTTCCTGTGAGTTGACGGTCTTTATGGAACATGGTACAAACTACTTGATCGTCTGGAGTTCTTTGATGTGTCACGAGAAATTGAAAGAAAATAATTCTTGATTTTGGAATGCATTTACCTGTGAGGCTATATAAACAAATCTTAGTAGGGTCAATTACAGCATGTTGTTGTTTATGATTCGCTGCTTGGAACAAAAAGTTCCAAGCAGCACGGGCTATGGTGAGCCCGTAGTGGACTTCAACTACAGCAATTCAAGAGCTAGATACGTATAAATGCAGGATGAAACAAGCTTGAGGAACCAGCAAGGGAGAACCAATTACACAAGAGGACACCATTGGTGCTTCGGGGAATTGAGGCCTCATTACAGTTGTCAGGAATTAATATCTCCCTGCGAGGCTATGACATGAAAGTTTCTCCATTACAGCAGGAATTCGAACCAAGAACTTAGTCTTCACAAACTAGAGACGCCGTCGTATTCAGCTGGCGTTGAATGACAATTTCTACCACGAAATGCTGTGTTGTTCTCTACGAGTCCAACCACTTGGGCAGGACGGTAGAACGACGATCTCGCTTCATGCAGGTCGGCGTTCAATCCCCGACCGTCCAAGTGTTTGGGCACCATTCCTTCCCAACCGTCACATCCCAAATCCTTATCCTGATTCTTCCAAGTGCTATATAGTCGTAATGGCTTGGCGCTTTCCCCCGAAAATTCCCTTCCCTTCTCTACTAGTCGTGTTTCAGGTATAAACCGCATTGTTCAGTTTAGTGTATAAAGTGAGTTATTGAAGACTTAAATACCCCAATCTACATATAATTGGAAGTGACGACTTATGTATTATTGAAGTAATACATGCAATTTAGATCCTAACAAAAGTCCAATTTGTATACAAAAGAGCTGAATATAAAAAGCAATAAGCCAGTATGACTGCATAGCGCATGGAAGGGATAACTAAGACCGAAGAGGAGTTGGGATAGAGGGGAAGGAGTGAAGCAACGATTCTCAACACCTTGGACCATCGGGGATCGAACGCCGACCTTACAAAAAGCGAAACCGTCACTGATGCGACCAGTGCAAGCGGCAGTGCAGAGGCGCTGAATGACGCCTCTACTCCCGTCATCACTCCGGGAGGGAGGGAGGGAGCCGGTCGGCCGAGCGGACAGCACGCTGGACTTGTGTTCCTGTGGTCCTGGGTTCGATCCCAGGCGCCGGCGAGAAACAATGGGCAGAGTTTCTTTCTCCCTATGCCCTTGTTACCTAGCAGTAAAATAGGTACCTGGGTGTTAGTCAGCTGTCACGGACTGCTTCCTGGGGGTCGAGGACCGGGCCGCGAGGACACTAAAGCCCCGAAATCATCTCAAAATAACCTCAAGATAAGATATCACCTGCAACCCCCGCCACTATTAATGCCTCCTTCGCTAATAGCCGTCTTGGCCACATAATCCCTCCGTAGCGCCGCTGGTAATCGCCCAGTCCGCCAACCCATAAACCTCTGCCGCAGATTTCGTTGAGCACATAAACTCCCGCCACCTGACTGGCGTCGCTGCCTGAAAGGGGGCTCAGGCAGGCTATAGGGCGCAGTGAGACGTTCTTGAACCCTTGGTTCAGAAGGCCCTTACTGACCCTCCCAGCCTCGTCTGGAGGCATCGTGAAAATTATTTTGGCAGAGGTCCTGGGTAATGACGGTACGAGAGGACTTAGGAAACTGTCATTGAAGCTGGAAGCGGGAGAGTTCGAAGCTGGTGTCGGGGCAAGAAATATAAGCTTGTGTCGGGGCAAGAAATATAAGCTTGTGTCGGGGCAAGAAATATAAGCTTGTGTCGGGGCAAGAAATATAAGCTTGTGTCGGGGCAAGAAATATAAGCTTGTGTCTTGGGAAGAAATAGAAGTTTGTGTCTTGGGAAGAAATAGAAGCTTGTGTCGGGGCAAGAAATAGAAGCTTGTGTCGGGACAAGAAATAGAAGCTTGTGTCGGGGCAAGAAATAGAAGCTTGAGTCGGGGCAAGAAATATAAGCTTGTGTCTTGGGAAGAAATAGAAGCTTGTGTCGGGGCAAGAAATAGAAGCTTGTGTCTTGGGAAGAAATAGAAGCTTGTGTCGGGGCAAGAAATAGACGCTTGTGTCGGGGCAAGAAATAGAAGCTTGTGTCGGGGCAAGAAATATAAGCTTGTGTCTTGGGAAGAAATAGAAGCTTGTGTCGGGGCAAGAAATATAAGCTTGTGTCTTGGGAAGAAATAGAAGCTTGTGCCTTGGGAAGAAATAGAAGCTTGTGTCTTGGGAAGAAATAGAAACTTGTGCCTTGGGAAGAAATAGAAGCTTGTGTCTTGGGAAGAAATAGAAACTTGTGCCTGGGGAAGAAATAGAAGCTTGTGTCTTGGGAAGAAATAGAAGCTTGTGCCTTGGGAAGAAATAGAAGCTTGTGTCTTGGGAAGAAATAGAAACTTGTGCCTTGGGAAGAAATAGAAGCTTGTGTCTTGGGAAGAAATAGAAACTTGTGCCTTGGGAAGAAATAGAAGCTTGTGTCTTGGGAAGAAATAGAAACTTGTGCCTTGGGAAGAAATAGAAGTTTGTGCCTTGGGAAAAAAATAGAAGCTTGTGCCTTGGGAAGAAATAGAAGCTTGTGCCTTGGGAAAAAATAGAAGCTTGTGCCTTGGGAAGAAATAGAATCATGTGTCTTGGGAAGAAATAGAAGCTGTGTGGCAGCTTCTACAAAGCACCCATCCTCATCCAAAGTTTCTCCAAGTTGCGGTTGAGCCCCAAAGAAACACTCATCAATTTTAACGCAAGATATAATAACGCAAAATTTTCCGAGACCGTTTTCCTGTGACCACAAGACCACTTCCCCGCAGCGCCTCAAGACCGTTTGTCTTATTTAACAATCTTGCGAATCTTATGATTTTTGTTTACAAAGGTTTTTATCACAATTCTAAAATTCCATCCAGGTATACAGATCTCTCTATATATATTATACTAGAAAGGTGCAGATGAGGAGTCACAATAACGTGACTGAAATATGTTGACCAGACCACACACTAGAAAGTGAAGGGACGACGACGTTTCGGTCCGCCCTGGACCATTCTCTATTCGACAATCGACTTGAGAATGGTCCAGGACGGACCGAAACGTCGTCGTCCCTTCACTTTTTAGTATGTGGTTTGGTCAACATGCTAGAAGGGTGTCCGGTGGTGAACGTGGTAGTCTGTGTCTCTCACCCTACCGCTGTTCTCCCCCTCTTCTCTCCCCCTCTCTATTTCCTCTCCCACCTCCCCTATTTTCTCCTTTCTCCCCACCCTTCCCCTAACCCCCCCATCTCCTATCCCTCTCTCCTATTTCCTCCCTTCTCTCATCCTCTTCTTCCCCTTCTATCTCATCTTGCTTCAACTTTCGAACTGACAGACATTTCTATTAACACGGAATTCTCCTTTTTGTATTAATATATTTGGGTATATCTGCCTTTATGCAGCTACCCCTAGACTATACGAAGGGGAGTACCGTATGCGTACTAGCTACGTGATCAGCATTTGCAAGTGACGAACTCCAGGGACTCAGCCAAGCACCTTTCACTGTATCCTTCCAAAGATGGGTGAGGCTAGCCGCAAGCGTCGGGTCTTCAACCCTGGACAGCCAAACAGACAGATATTTTCTCACACACACATATTTATATATATATATATATATATATATATATATATATATATATATATATATATATATATATATATATATATATATATATTGACTAGGGGTAGTGCCCAGCTGTGCCCAGGTCTCTCTACCCCCACTCTGTACTAATTATCCCCCTTCTCTCTCTCTCTCTCTCTCTCTCTCTCTCTCTCTCTCTCTATCATTAATAATACTACATGAACCTGTGTCAGTATGTTTTTACAATAAATGAAATTAAAAAAAAATACACATCTGAAGTTGTGGGAGGATCGTCTGTTTTATGCAGCTATGGGCAAAATAAGATAGAAAACTTATATTAGAGTTATGTTACTTTTCCCAAGATCAGTGCACAATGTTTCATGGTACTATAAGGGAAGATTTATTATATAATTATTATTTTTTTAATATTTAGCCTGGCAGGCAAAGCCAAAATTAGTAGTGAGAAAGCGGGGTCAGTATGAGACCTTGGCATGCTGTTTCCTCTTGAAATCTGGCCACCCCCAACTGGCCTATGTCAATCCCATACCCCAGACTTTTCTTCTTGCAAAGTTGAGTGAGGCAAGCCGCAAGCATCTGACCCCGCAAACTGGAACAGACAACCATTCAAGCAAACGAACAAACATTCTCTCATATAGTTTAACTACGATATTAAGAGTAGTTTTTGCTTAAGGGGAAAAAAAAAAAGATCATAATTTTGATTCAAGGTCACTTACTTTATGTCCAGTAAACTTTATCTCCAGTAAACTTTATGTCCAGTAACCTTCATGTCCAGTAAACCTCATGTCCAGTAAACTTTATGTCCAGTAAACCTCATGTCCAGTAAACCTCATGTCCAGTAAACTTTATGTCCAGTAAACCTCATGTCCAGTAACCTTTATGTCCAGTAAACCTCATGTCCAGTAAACTTTATGTCCAGTAAACCTCATGTCCAGTAAACTTTATGTCCAGTAAACCTCATGTCCAGTAAACTTTATGTCCAGTAAACCTCATGTCCAGTAAACTTTATGTCCAGTAAACCTCATGTCCAGTAAACTTTATGTCCAATAAACTTTGTGTCCAGTAAACCTTATGTCTAGTAAACTTTATGTCCAGTAAACTTTATATCCAGTAAACCTTATGTCTAGTAACTTTTATGTCCAGTTATGTCATGTCCAGTTATGTCCAGTTGATCGTCATCAGCCATCAACTGTCCTCCACTGCTACAGTTTTAATTGTCATTACTGATACGAGCCTCTCCATAACGAGGACGACACAGCCTATTACTCTGTAACACAGCAGACTCCTCCCATTACTGGCGCAAGGAGCCGGATAAGAAGGTGGGGGGAGAGGGGAAGGAATGGAGGAGATGAAGGAGTGGGGGGGGTGAGGGAGGGGGAGGAGATGGGGGGGGGGGAAGGGCGGATCATATTTACTAAGCAAATGTAGAGAATTCTGACAGAGGGAATTGTTAATGGGATAAATTATTTATCTCTGCGTTAATGAAAGTAAATGATGATTCTTTTAAGTGGCGGAGGGAAAAATGACTCCTAGTGTTTGACTCTTCCAAGCTGCTGCTGCTGCTGCTGCTTCTCTGTATTATACATTAAAGCAGACCTCTACGTGTATGCATGTGTGTGTTTGTGTATGCGTTATGCGTATGAGGGGTGGCTTATGTGGACATTCTTGTATGCCCACATGCTTTTGTGTGTGTGTGTACTCACCTATTTGTGCTTGCGGGGGTTGAGCTTTGGCTCTCTGGTCCCGCCTCTCAACTGTCAATCAACTGGTGTACAGATTCCTGAGCCTACTGGGATGAATCAATCAACTGGTGTGTGTGTTTACTAGTTGTGTTTACTAGTTGTGTTTTTGCGGGGGTTGAGCTTTGCTCTTTCGGCCCGCCTCTCAACTGTCAATCAACTGTTTACTAACTACTTTTTTTATTTTTTTTATTTTTTTTTCCACACCACACACACCCCAGGAAGCAGCCCGTGACAGCTGACTAACTCCCAGGTACCTATTTACTGCTAGGTAACAGGGGCACTTAGGGTGAAAGAAACTTTGCCCATTTGTTTCTGCCTCGTGCGGGAATCGAACCCGCGCCACAGAATTACGAGTCCTGCGCGCTATCCACCAGGCTACGAGGCCCCTCGCTATCCACCAGGCTACGAGGCCCCTCGCTATCCACCAGGCTACGAGGCCCCTTTCTGATGTGTGTGTGTGTGTGTGTGTGTGTGTGTGTGTGTGTGTGTGTGTGTGTGTGTGTGTGTGTGTGATGTATTTATGTACTTACCGAGTCAAACGTCAAACTTCAGCTCATTCCTCTTGCTCACATCTCTTACACTGAAGAACTGCTTCCTTACATATACATGTAAGATTTTCCACCGATCCTCTCATCCTGCCCTGGGTCATACTAAACATTTCAGTTATGTCCACTATGAGCAATGCAGAGATCTTTTATGTCGTAATTATGTCACCTCTTTGGCTTTTATGTTCAAGCGTTGCGCCCTTAAGGTCTCTCGGCCCTTCCTCATAGTTCAGGGATCACACTCGTTACAAAATTTTAGACTTCCTCTAATTACACGTTGTGCTTGTTAGGAGAGGATTCAACACTTGAGAATCTGCATATTTCAGCACCTAAGATAGTATACAATGCTCTGAACGTTTCCTTTTACATGTGCCTGAAAGCTGCACAAATTAACTACGGGCTCACCATAGCCCGTGCTACTTGGAATATTTTCTTCCAAGTAGCGAATTTTAAACAACAACAACTGCACACATTTTCGAAAGCTTGCCTGTGGATATTATCCTGCTAACATGCAGGATAGTCCTACTATCCTGCTAACTATCTCCGGTTGTAGGATTAGGGTAAGGTAATTATCCAGAGAAAGCGCAAAGCCAGAATGGCTAAATAAATATAGACTTGGGGTTATTTTTATTTTCGGGTCTTTTTCCCTTTTCTGATTCAGACTTTTTAGCCTCCCTCTCTCTCTCTCTCTCTCTCTCTCTCTCTCTCTCTCTCTCTCTCTCTCTCTCTCTCTCTCTCTCTCTCTACAGTTCCTCATCCCTGTTCCAGAACACATTACCTTGCATTTAATTGGATTAATGTCGAGCAGCCATTCTTCACTCTTTGTAGTATATCCAGTTCTACCTTGGGCATTGTGCAGTCCTCCTCTGTTATGATTTATCAGTTTTTTTTCAACGACAAACAATAACATGAAGAACCTAAACATGATGTCTCAGCAACACGGGAGCCGGTCGGCCGAGCGGACAGCACGCTGGACTTGTGATCCTGTGGTCCTGGGTTCGATCCCAGGCGCCGGCGAGAAACAATGGGCAGAGTTTCTTTCACCCTATGCCCCTGTTACCTAGCAGTAAAATAGGTACCTGGGTGTTAGTCAGCTGTCACGGGCTGCTTCCTGGGGGTGAAGGCCTGGTAGAGGACCGGGCCGCGGGGACACTAAAAACCCCCGAAATCATCTCAAGATAACCTCAAGATCTCAAGATAACACAACAAGTCTTGTACTTTCCTGTTGTACTTCACTTGATACTTCCCTACATTTAGATCTTGCCAGCCTCATCCT